CTCTGAGGTCCAGGGGTGCACATATCCCCCCAGTGGGGTCCCTGCAGGGCCAGGAGGACCAGGCCCAGCAGCCACCTGAAATGAGACAGCTTCCACTGAAGTAGCCAGCCCCGCACCTAGAGAACCATCAGCGCGCCAGCAGACACAGGAACCTGTCACTGACGGGGAGCATAAAAAAAGGGGGAGGAGGCAAGCCCTGCTCATACTCTGAGCTAGGATGTTAAGCGGGCGCGGTGGGGGAGGCAAACATCCAACCAGACAAGTAGACAGAAGCACCTTAACATCCATCCAGTCACATTCAAATAATCTGACCCTTACACCCATACGGACAAATATAAGCACACGCACACAGAGGCAGACACAATACTGTACATATTCTACAGTCTTCATAAATACACTATCCTTCTGGGTCTGAGGAACAACCTCTCTGGGGTGAACAGAACCACAGATGAAGAACAAACAAACAAAATAATAATTAAAAATAAAACAAAATGTAATGACCTTTATTTCACTGCATTTTACTTTTCCTATTGTGTTTTTTCATGTCTCGTTTTTGCTGCTATAACTTGGTATATTAATAATTTTCCCTTGCCCAAAGAAAGAGCTGACCTAAAAAGGAAAGTTCTTGATTTTCCAGTCTGTCTACATCCAGGTCTCAGTTGTGGTCAAGAGATATGAAACATAATCAGAAGGATGAGACCCTGGATACAAGTGACGAAATGCGCTTCCACCGTAGGGACTGGGCTCAGACACAGGCTGAGGAGATAAAAAATAATAATAATGCTACATGTTTATAAGCAAGACCTATCTAAAACTTAGGAATCTATATTTTATAATCTCACATATTTGTTTAAAACCTTAGTAGGGTTATGTTGAGACACTTATAAGAGGCTGTTGATGGGATCTGGTCCTAACTGAGTCTTTGACATCTGTATTCCTGCCAAAGAAACATTCTAAATAGCAGAGAAATTGTCCTTAAAAAAGCAGATGATGGCTGTGATACTTGGTGCTGCTCTGCATTATAACTCATTCCAGGCGAGGAGTCGTAGAGTGAGAGTAGGTCAGTGGTGATTGGGAGATGATTTACGAAGAAGTGGATTTATACAGCAGCAGTAAGTGCCTGTAACAGGACTTACACTCACAAAATATGAACATTGGACTGTAACAGGATGATATTCCTTTTTCTTTTATTAGTCTAAAAATCTTAACGTTATCTTGCTAAACTTAACTTAAAAGCTGTTTAGATGTGCCTGAAGCCAGGATGTTGCTTTGAGAAATCTAAGAGGACTTCTATTGGCTTTTTGTCATCGTCCCATGAGGACAAGATTTGTGAATTCTAAGACTAGTTGTATAGTCGGCAGCTTTTTAAAGGTGAGGTGAAGATTTTTGCCCTGTATAAAGAAGATTATCCATTCATATCTTCATATAAGATATTAATAAGATATTAATTTCCATTCAAGGTTAATAAAGTATATTTTCATTTGACATGAACCTGAGTATTAAGTTGATCAAAGACACTCGTCAGCCTGTAGCAGATCATCATTTATCCAATATTTTCATTTCTGTCACACGTTAACATCCATAAGTGAAAACATGCATCAGGTTCATGTGTTTGAAATATTGAAAGGTGAATTCAAAATTCCTTTCAAATCTAATGTTTTTACTGTTCTGTGATGCTTTTTTGTCATACACTGCAAAAAAAATGAAATCTTAGATAGTCAGTTTTTAAAATACATTTATTTTCCCTTGATTTAAAGCGGAGGCCTTCAACAGGGGGTCCGCAAACCCTAGAGGGTCCACGGAGGTACTGCATGGGGGTCTCAAAAGTTTTGCTTAATTAGACTTTTTTTATATTCCCCCATGCAGTTTTTTCCACTAACTGAAATGTATTTAAATACACATTAACATGAATGCAATTCACTGCACAGCACACATTCAGCAACACACAGGAACTCTTTCAAGCTGGGCACCATTTCATTCACAACACCTGTCCCATCAACCAAAATCTGAATCAAAAATATTTTAATAATCCCAGGGCCAAATTACTTTCGTTAGATTACTCCATCTGTAATAGAGTGACTAAAGGACCAGTTTGATAGAACACAATTTCATACAATATATATAATTAGGGGGTCCATCCCTGCTTCATCTCGCCATCAGTTTGGGGGGTCCTTGGCCTGGAAAACTTTGAAGACCCCTGATTTAATGGAACTAGGGGCAGGAATTGTAAAAGACATGCTTGTCCAGTTTATTAATGCTAATTGGTGATGAGGTATTAAAAACCAAAACCAATGAGCCCACCATGCGCTGCATAATATTCTGCAATTTGGGGGCCAAATTTTCTACCAGTCCTACGGATGTAACATCAGTTGATGCAACATGTCGGCCCTGACAGTTTTGACTCAGGAAGCCACGGTTGTTTCCGTAGTTCTATTAGTAGAAGACCAAAAAGTTGTTTCAAAGACTTACATGGATAGTAATGGACCTTTCAGCAGTCAGCAAATGACCAACATCTACTTAAAACCCACTAAAAAAGTGATATAGATAATGGCATTACCAGTAAAGCGCAGAGACTACAGCTTGTCTGTGAGGCGTTTCTGCTGTACCGGCTCTGCTGGTGGATGCAGGTACACACAGCACCAAGCGTGTCACGTGTGTGTCATTTCGTCATCTTTTCTCTAGTTTCTTTAAGCAGGTAAGTAGGCAATTTGTAGATGGAATGATATTATATATTAAACAATAAGAAAAAACTAATCGATTAGCTAATTGTAAGTACAAAATTATCTGAATATCTAATATTAAAGGCAAAACTACTTATTCCATTGGTAGACAATCCAACTGTTAAAATTTGAGGAAATATACTTATATTAAGAAAAGTTTACTTATTTTTAGATACATTTTTGCATTGTAAAGCACATACCTCTTTACAAGAAGACTCCATCTTCTTGACAAAGAAATAAAAAATAAAAACATTAAACGTACTGACCCATACTTTCTTGCGTTGTCTACTGATGGTGTCAGAGGGACTGGTGCTGCCAGTGTACAGCAGCCACGCTTCTGGGGGTGCGCCCCAAGGCAGCTGTGGCTGCATTGTAGCTTACCACAGCGAGTGTGCGTGAATGGGTGAATAAATGAATGCAGTGTACATTTTTTTGGTCAAGTCTCCTGACTTTAAAAAGTGCTATAAAAGTACATGCAATTTACCATTCAAATGTAATGTATGCTGGTGAAGGTTTTCAGTCATCCAGGTCATAGTCATTCCAAAAAAGAAAATTAAAAACAATCCACTGGACTTTGTTTCCAAATTTGAAGAGGTTTCACTTCCCATCCAGGAAGATTTTTCAATTCAAAATGAATTAAAAATTCAAAATTAATTGAAAGTTCAAAATGAAGGGAAAATTCAATTTGAATTTAAAGATCTTCCTGGATGGGAAGAGAAACCTCTTCAAATTTGGAAACAAAGTCCAGTGGATTGTTTTTAATTTTCTTTTTTGGAATGTAAATGTACAAAGCTTGTGTCTACAGATGTAACTACAGCATCAACCATGCTGCAGCAGTGCTGTGAGGAGCTCTAGGCCCCAGAAAACTTTTGTTTTGCCTCTTATTAACTTTTTCCTGTGATGCCTCGTTCTCATTCTACTGTATGTGTCTCTGTGATTGGCTAATAATCATAGAGTTGTGGATGAAATGCTGTGAAGTGTATGGCTAGATGTCAGTATGGTGATGAGTTTTGTTCTCGCTCTAACTCCTGCATGCTTGTTTTGCCTGTACTAGTGTCACTGATGTAGTCTGTTGTAATTTTTAAGGAGAGAAGAGAGAAGTCTCTATGGAAAACAGACACTCACACACACACACCAGTTTGTATTTCTATCCATATTGAGACTCTACATTGACTTACATTCATTTTAGTAACTGCATTTAAGCCTGACACTAACCTTAATATCAGTATATTCCAAACCCTAACCTTAACATAAAGTTTATTCACACCCTAACCCTAAGAAATAGGGATCTGCCACATTAGGACCGGCCTATGATCCCCATAAGGCCTGTTGGTCCTCAGACGGTCAGCAAATAGACCAAAAACAGTTTTAAATAGGTAACATTTACAAGTACAGGAAGAATTTTAACAGGAAGAATTAATTGACACTCTCCTCCTGGATGAGCATGTAGAGACATTTTGCTGTGCTTGTGCATCAAAAATTATGTTACATTTTTTTGTTTTAATACAGCAAGTTTGTAAATATTCAGCAACTGTAATTTTACCTAACAATAGCCACATACACTCAATGGCCACTTTATTAGGTAAATTATTTTATTTATCTCCTTAATGCAACTTCTCCTTAATGCAAATATCTAATCAGCCAGTCTCAGGGCAGCAACTCAATGCATTTAGGCATGTAGACGTGGTCAAGACAATCTGCTCCGGTTCAAACTGAACATCAGAATGGGGAAGAAAAGTGATTTAAGTGACTTTAAGAAATGGTGTGGTTTGTTGGTGTTAGACGGGCTGGTCTGAGTGTTTTAGAAACTCTGATCTACTGGGATTTTCATGCCCAACCATCTCTAGTGTTTACAGCTAATGGTCAGAAAAAGAGAAAATATCCAGTGAGTGGCAGTGCTGTGGGCCTAAATGCCTTGATGATCCTAGAAGCCAGACTAGTTCAAGTTGATCAAAAGGCAGCAGTAACTCAAATGGCCACTCGTTACAAAGTAATGTGGCTACAGTATATATATATGTATGTATATATTAAATTAATTTCTCTTTTTCTTTTATTGCTACTATAAAGTTTCTTCTTCATAAGGTGGTTCCAATGCTAGCTGTATTTCTTCAAAGTACATCAGACCCTCCCCAACAAAAGCTAATACTGACTGATAAACGACAGATCAACTAAAATATTTAGTTTTTTAATGATACAGGCTTTAATTTTCCATTTATTTATGATCTTTTACTTTTTCGTCTCAAGCTTATCATCATGTCTCTGTTTTCTGTCTCTGTCCAGCATCTGCTCCTAAACTGAGACCAATGCAAGGACAGTCTCTGATGGAAGGAGAGAAGATGTACTTGAAGTGTGAGGCGTCGGGAACCCCCAGCCCTTCCTTCCGCTGGTACAAAGATGGACATGAGCTGCAGAAAGGCAGAGACCTCAAAATAAAAACCAACAAGTGAGTATTTGAGTTAGTTAAAAGAGAGGATAAGGTTCAGTCGAACTGACTCGAATGAAGAGACACCTGACAAGTTTATCGTAGATCAGTCACTCTGGGTAAAACAGAAAGGTTTATAGAGGTCTTCAAGTCAGGCTTGTATTCAAAGGAGATTATAAGGAAAGATATTGGATGATTTTGCAATAATTAGTGTAAAATATGTAGAGCAATTCATTGGCCAGCCAAAATGTTTTAGCTGATGTCAGCAGGAATTTTCTTTTATCCGCCCAGGCTGATATTTGTTTGAGTTCATTACTGCATCCATCAGCCATGATTTGGATAAACTGAAGAGCCTGCCTTGACGCTACCTCCATTTGCTATCCACATTTTTTTTTGTTTTGTTAATAAATGTTTCTTTTTTTTAATTCAAGACTTGCATACAATTTGTTATCATTGTATTATTTTTTTTAAATAGTGAGATGACTAAAAATAATATTAGCTTCAAAAATCAGACCCCCAAAAAACAGGCAGCACATATCTGGGATAGTTTAAACTTGTGTCAAAATCATAGGTTACCTGTATCAGACTAAATAGAACCTCTTTGGTTGATCTTTAGGAGTAGAGAAAGTAAGCATAAATAAAAGAATAATGGTTGTAACGGAACCACAGCTTGCTGTTCTCAGTAATTCACCTGCTGGTCTTAGCAGTGCAGTATGGCTAGGTATTAAAAGAAGTTAGAATAGTCTGCAACAGGATGCAGACCCAGAGATGTTTCTTATACATTAATATGCAATTCTACTGAGGGAGGCGTTTAGTTTTTACCTTTCTGGAGATCAAACTTATCTGATTCTTGCCATGTGATCATCATTCAGGCATAAAATATACCCTTTTCTTCTGCAAGGGTACACTGTAAAAGAAAAGTGTGACTTTAACTCTAATAGAGTTGAAAATAACTCTATTTCTCCAAATTAGAGTAAAATTTACTCTAAATTAAGTCTCAACTTTTCCTTGTCAAATTTGCTAATTTTAGTGTCAAAATCAGGAAGACTCAGAAACTGGCAGGTAATCGACACTATATAGAGTAAAAGTTACGCTGCATAGCTGTCAAACTTGACCATATTTACACTCAGTATAGTTGTAAATACTCTATATAGAGTATTAGATTTTTAGAAATAGAAATTAGAGTATTAGAAATAGATTGACTGAATTTTTACCACCCAATTTTTTTACTGCTTTGGGATGACAATTTTACTTTTGTGTATGATCCAGATCCAGTCCAGGGTTTTTTGACCTTTTTTTAACTATGATTCAGATCCATGTGGATGCAGAGTTAGCAACATTAGCAGTTAGGCATGGTTTGTTAACCATCGTCTCCTGGTTACACAAAGCAGCTACACTGTTTTACAGCCAGCATTTTTTTTTCTCTGACTGCTGAAATTACCCCATAGAAAGGTGGGCTAGCACAGGAAGAAGACCAAATTTTACGCGGAGACTGTGCTCTTTTGGGCTTTTCTAATTTTTTCTTTTCTTTTCATAGTTTAAACTTAGAGCCCACATTAAAAAAGCAAACTCTTGCATATTTTAACTGAAGCCAGAATTCTTCTATTAACAAACCGGGTTGAAATGTTGTGCTAGAGTTGATAGTGCAGACTGGTATTGTCCGGTTGTTCAACACTCCTTTGAAATATTAAAAAAGCTTGAACACACGTCAATATTTCCAGTTGCTTTAGCCAAAAAAAAAAAAAAACAAGTTAACAAGAATAACTGAGATGGTCCTTCTGTCTGTCTTTGTCCCTTTCTTTCTCTTTCATTCAAGAAAAAATTCAAAGGTGCAGATCAGTCGTGTTCGTGTAGAAGACTCGGGGAACTACACCTGTGTGGCTGAAAACTCGTTAGGACAAGAAAACGTCACAAGTATAATCACCGTGCAGATCAGTAAGCATCAGATTGGTTTTTAGATATGTTTTACATTTGTCTGAGTTGTATTAATTAGTTCCAACTATTTACTTTTGCAGCTCGACGGCATATGTACGGACTAATTACCTAGTTAGGTTAACAGGTTTTAGATGTAACTGGATAGATTTTTACATTCAGGACCTGAACTGTCCACCTGTGGACCAGGTTGAGTCATAACTGCATTTTAAAACTAAAAAAGTAAAACTAACAGCCTTCAATGGAGAAATCATATTGTAATGAAAACTGCTGCAATGATTAAATCTTAATAAATAATTTCAAATACTGTATGTAAGCCAACTTTTTATAGTGACTGTTGGGATCTGTTTAGACTTTATATGAACACATTAATTACATTAATGTAATTACATTACATTAATTAAAGACTTTTAATATATATATTTTTTAGATAAATATTTTGTCCCAAGGAAAAATTTTAAATTTAAAAAAAATTTAGTTGCAGCCAAACTAATCTCTAGCACGATGCTTCCGTGGAAAAGGCATGGAGTTTGACTGCTCCATGCCTTTTCCTAATAGCAGTTCCCCAAGCTTTGTCTGATACTGTATGACCATCCAGAAAGATTTTCACTTTTCCAGGTTGACACGGATTGGAATCAAGTTGGTCAGCACCCATTGTTGATGATACATGGATTGAGCTTTCAGCTGTGAAAGTGGTTTTATCACAGTTGATGGTACTGTAGTCTGGAGTAGGGTTGAGCGTAGTTTGAATTTGTACGATTCCAGTTCTGATTCCAATTCTTTATTTCAGTTTCAATTCCTTTAAATTCTCAAATTTGATCATTTTAATGGTAAGGGCCAATAAATTTTTTTTGTTTTAAGCTGTCTAACCAGTTCCAGCTCGATGACTTTGTCTGATCTTCTCAATTTATTATTCCTTAAATATTTCACTCTGTGTAAACATTACTATAGATGAACACATGGATATTTTCAACCAGTAAATAAATATAAAACCTATGAACTCTGATATAGATCAAATAATTTATTTTTCGCAGGGGTACATTTTCCCACAGAGCTTTGTTCTTAAAAGAAAAATCATTAAAACTCAATTGAATACATCCAGTGTCTGATGCTGCAGGTACTTACCACTTGTAGTTCAATATTATTATTTATTTCACTGGATTCTGGCTGCAGCGCTGTGCGAGGCCGAATATCAGACTTGCAGGAAAAATCAGTTTTTTGTTCTAAGGAAGTAATCCCTTCAAAGTTTATAACCTCAGGGTTGTTCATTGCACCTCAATTCCACTCAGCTAGACGTGAAAGTAGTGATGTTTTACTTTTGTTGACGGAGAAACGATAAGATTTTATTTTTCGTCTCTAAACAAATGTTGCTTCGACCAGTTTTTGCGACTCCTCAGCAAAAAGAGGTTGCTACTGGCCGTCCTAAAAGGCGCAAGATGACTCCATTGTCTAATTTGCATATATGCAAATAAGGTGATGAACTGAAATATATTTCATGCAGGAGGAAATCCCTCTTATTGCCTTTTTCTTTGGATGTCTGTCAAAGGACTGCAGAGAGATGTCAGGATAGCAGGAAGGGAAAACCTGGGGATTTTAAGAGTAATAGCTTTTATCTGAGACAGTTGTGTCAGTTAGATTATTTTCATTATCCCACTTTGCTATATCGTGGGATTAGCAGCAGTTTTTCACATGTGCATTTCATTTGCAATCTAGATTCAGAGTGGAAAGGTTCTCTCTCTCTGCTGCAGCATTCAGACAGTCTGCCTACATGACGACAGCAGACAATGAGAGAGGGAGAGAGAGCAGGAGGCGAGCTTACAGATCCACTCGCTCAGGAGGAAAGAGTTTTGTGCTTTTATGTGTTGTCGCCAAAGTGTCAATTAACATAAAAAGGAAATAAAAGTAAATAAAGGTGCTAGAGTCTGAGAAGTCTCTAAAATGAGCGACAAAAGCGCAAAGTTGGTAACACTGGCTCCAAATGATCAGATTCTTTCTGCCTTTTTATTGTTTTTTTGTAGATGTTACATTATGCAATTATCAATATGTAAATAAGTAAAAAGACAGTTTTGAGAAAGTAAGGACTAAAAAACTGATTTATTTTTTGTAAAATAAAGGAAGTCCTTAAAAGAAAAAATAAAGTACAGGTACATAAATAATCTTTTTTTAAAGTACAGTGAATAAGTATTATTTATATTTGACCCCTTTTAACTGAGGGACATTTTCAGCTCAATTGTCTCAAGTTATCCTTATGATCTACTTTGAGAAGTGCACCAGTCCCTCATGCAGCAAAGCAGGCTCATAACATGATGCTGCCAACCCCATGCTTCACAGTTTGGATGGTGTTCGCAGGCTTAGAAATGTCCCTGTCTTCCTCTAAATATAACAGTAGTCAATATGGCTCAATACTTGAATAGCAATCAGTGGTTGATGGACATTCTCTTTGTATTCTGTATAACAACTTTATATATACAACTATATATATATAGATATAGATATATAAGGTATTTCATACCCTTTATAAAGGAGCAGCCTTATGCTGCTGACATTAAATAAAACTGCAACATTTCTGTTTTAGGTTATTCAACAAGTTTGCAGCCTCTAGTAGGGTGTGTTAGTACTAAACATAATCTCCCTTGTCTCTACTTCCTGTCAATCATCAGTGACCACCACAACCCCATCTCCAGGTGTCAGTCATGCGAGGCGCTGCAACGATTCAGAGAAGGCTTACTGCGCTAACGGAGGAGACTGTTACTTTATACATGGTATTAACCAGCTGTCCTGCAAGTAAGTTTGTCTTCCAGTCAGTCTCCATCCCTTCAGCTCTCCACCCAGGCTCTCTTCCTCTCCTTTGTCTTTCATTTGTCCGTGATTTCTGTGTTGTTGGTCACTGCACCACCCTGTGCTCTGTTTCGTGTATTAAACTCCCTGCACATCCATACCTGCAACCCGACTAACGGTGCCTCTGTGTTTTAGGCTTATTTTTCACATGGTACCATCTCTTATAGAAGCTTAGAGCAGGTGGCTGCTACAGATCTTCTCCCGCAGTTAATCTCCATACTCATCCACAGGTCCTCATTCTCTGCTGTAGTGATGTGTGCACATTTATGTGTGAGGTCTGCCTGTGAGTGAAAGAGGGAGCATGGAAAGGTGTAAATGTAGCCCTGCAGAAAATCTGGAGTACTCTATGAGATTAATTCACTGTAAAACTGTTGGTATGTTGCTGTATTTACTATTCCTGTTACCTACCTTTACTTTCTTTTTAGCTTTCAACACACCTGATTAGGACAATGTCTCATACAGCTCTGGTAAATAGTTGAAATCCAATCATCATGCCAAGAATGTTAGATTATTTATGATACATTTAAAACTATTTTCTCTAAATACTAATAATCACAATAATTTGTCGTTACAACTCTACAATTTCTTAAAGGTATAGTGTAGGATGTTATTTTTCTGGTTGGATCGTCTGAATAAGTGGTCCTCCTAATTGTCAATCATTCTGGTGATATGCTTAGGTAAGGCCGTCCTATGTGCTCCTCACTATTTTCACTTACTTGTGGTGAGTCTGACATAGTGGAAAAATTGCAAATGGAAAGTAAGCTTGTACGATCGATGCAAACAACAACTTTTAAACTGACGTGCACAAGGAGAAACTGACTAGTGCATGCTCTCGCACGTGTGTAATAGGTGTTCCCTCTCGGGAGTGGGTACGGTTTGTACATCTGCTTTTGTTTGTGGAGAGGGCAGGTCTTTTCAAAACTTCTCAAAAATCCTCCACTATACCTTTAAAGTCGTAGGGAACCGGCTGTTCCAATGTTTGCAGTTCAGAATTCTTCCGAGTGGTGCATGACTTTACACGAGTGAATAAAGTGAATGTGACTGGTCGATTATTAAGAGGGCGGTGTGGTGGAAGATTCGCAAGCAAGTTTGGTTGTGGCAGGTTTGTCTAAAGCATCTTGCTAACCAGTTAGCAGCTTAGTGCTAGTAGTTTCCCAATGGGAAATTCGATTGGGACCAAGTAGCACTAAATTTTTGACTTAGAAACGACACTGTCAAGGAACGCTATGGACAGAAGAAACATGCAAGAGGAGGAGAGTTTTGTGTCGGAGGTCGCGGATGAGTCTCCTTTGAATACATTTTTTATTTAGAGAAGGAAATTGGGGACAAAGATGTTGCCGAAGAGGGCACCAGGGTGGCAGAAGCTTCGCTTGTTAATAAAAAATAAAAAAAAAGGAAAAAGGCTTAAAATGGAATAAAAATGAGTGCGCCTCATCAGGCTAAAGTAGTAAAACAATTTCACAAAGAATTTGAGTCAGTAGATCACATGACCTGGAAGCTATTGAAGAAAAGTCCCAACTTTTGTCTTTAAAAATATGTTAAAAATTGAAATTGGCTTAAAATTGCATAAAAGAAAGTGTTCCTTACATATGTTATCTATTGGCATGATTTTATATTAGTTTCGTCTTAGCTGGTCATGAGATAAGGAATTTATTGATTTTTGTTTCTCAAGAGTGCTTGGTTCAAAGATTTGCTGACCGTCCCTAACCGCACTACCGCGTGCGGGAGGAGGGAGCAGCTGAGAGATGCTGGCCAACATCAGAGTCCCTCAGTCGGGTCAACTGTTTGCTAGATCCCGCTGACTCCGTGGAGCTTGAATATCCAATATCCAACTTCAAACCCACTTCACCGCGGTTGTTAGCCACCGAGTTAAGAAGACATTGTCGACACCTGTGTCCATGTGTGCGTCCAAACGAAAAATAATAAAGTCAATACTTATAACCTTAGCATTGTTTTCAAAAACAGTTGCTAAATGTCTCAGCTCACTGAGAAGTTCTTCGTAGGTAGCCATGTTTGTTGTGACTCTGGCCGGTGGCTGCTAACCAACCAATGGGCAGAAGTTGAGCCCGTACTCATTTGTATAATGAGGCAGAAATGCAGACAGAAATGTAAATATAACAGGCAGAAATAAATAGCATGGAAGAAATAAATAAAGTAAAAAAATACAAATGAAGAATAAACCACACAAAAATATTATAACATGCTCATAAATAAATAGTGAAAGAAATAAGTAATGAATAAATAAAGTTGAAGATTATAACAGAAAATAAATAAATACGGTAATTAATACAAAGCCGAAAAAACAAAAAAGCTAATTAAAAGAGATATATACATTTATGTCTCACTGTATAATTTAATTTCTATCTACTTTTATTTGTTTATTGTATTTTTGGAGGGCAGTTAAAGTATAGTTGTTTATTTTTGGAGCATTTCTGTATTTATTTTTATTATGGCAGGATTGGTCCTCTATAGTTGCGTATATTAGCTGCGAAATATGAGTCAAGATGCTATGAAAAATTTGATTGACAGATGACCGTTGATATATGATTGGCCGAGACAGGATTTTTTTGAAAATAGAAATCTTCAAACTTTTGGGACAATATCGTCTGATAAAGAGTACATTTATATACATATTTAAGGCAGAATGATTTGAAATTTAAATGACTTCCCTACGACTTTAAAATAAGTGTATTCGACTTTAATTTGAGTATGTGCATAAGATGATCTGCAAATGGAATGAGTATTTTTATATTTACCATTAGATAATTAGATATTATAGACTTGAAATAAAAAAGAATGCATTTGTTTTTTCTTATTTCAAATGTAAATTAACTTATTCCATTCCATCTTTGAAGAAAAATTGACTTACTTTGATTAATTCAGGCTTGTGCTCTATTTTTATTTTCTTTACGAGAAGATTTGTTTTGTATCATCTTTCAATTACACAAAATGTTCACATGACGTAGGTAACATTACAGTCAAGTCCCTACAACTCCACTCTGTTGACAGCAGTGCCATATTGCTTCATATTGAGTGAAGCTATAAAAAGTTAAACAGGACGTCCCACTGTCATGGTGTATTAGCCACTCTCTCTGCTGACGGTCACTCTTTTGGCATGTAACCATGAGCCATTTTGCAAGCCGAGGGCACTGTGCAGCAGAGAGGACAAAACAGATAAGACAGATGTCAGATGATGTGCATGTTGGGTCCTTCACATTAAACTACATATCAAAGAGTGTCTGTGAGTCCATATCAGCCTTCAGACTTGGTCGGAGTCTCAGATAAACTAATAACAGCTGTCAAGGTCACTGGGTTACTATCAGTGTAATTCACAGTACTTAAACAGTCACTACAGCTCTGGGAATTTTTACTCATACAATGAGCTCACACTGACGACAGTGCAGCTGCGCTGCAGGTGCCACAAGGAACCCACAAACCTATGTTAAACCTATGTGTACGCTCAAATCAGCCACCTATCAGACCACTCTACCAACCTTTTTTTTAAAAAAAAAAAGACACTGGTGACAAATCCAGCAATTTTTTTTTTCATTTATTTTTATTTTTTCTCTGTTTTGGAGACTTTTAGACAAGAACTGATTTGTAATCAGGTAATCGAGTGTAATCATTCCCTAGAATACACAATAATATTATGTGTGCAATAGTACACTAATCACACTAATCACACTTTACCAATAGCAAAGTGATTGAGCAAAATATCCATAATGTCCAAATAAATCGCTGAAGACAGACTAGATTATGGCGACCGTGGACCCACTTCCGCCCTGGCTTAGATGTCCATACCGATTTTCGGTATTTCATAAGTGCACATCGCTACAGAACTTCTTCAGAACTTGAACTTTGGTTCAAACCATGGTTTTTAAGCTTGAATATCCACAGTGGACCAACACCTGTGATGCCGCTTGTGCGTTAGATGTATGGGTGTACAAAAAAAGTCAGTACAAAGGTTCCCACTTGTGATTTTAGGATGTCTTTAAGAAAATGCAGTTAACTGGGTAAAATATTTTTAACCTGTTAAAATGTTTCTAATTAATTAATCAAACTCCTGGCCCTGATTATAATATAAACACACATTAATTAATACATTAAATGGATTTATTTGTTATTTGTCAATAAATACATATAACTCCCTACCAACAAATCACCTTATATGGGTTACCACAGGAATGGCTAATGATTGGCTAAGGATAGCCTTGGGTACCACTGGATCCTCATCTGGCTCTAGTTGGATTTGTGGTTTAAATTCAGCCTCACTGGGATGAACTGATCATTCTTATCATGACAGTCTCTCCATCATTTTTTTTTTATTTAATAAAATCTTTGGATGAGGTCATTTAATCTATATTAGGTAGAGTGTGCTGTGTGTCACGGGCTGTTTCTCAATTCACTAGAATACGAGTACGGACTCGTGTCCTCGCCAAGTATGTTCTTGAGAAGAACACAGGAAAGTGTGGACTTGGGGAGAACGGGAGCATGCAACATAAATCTGGGTCAAATGGAAAAGAAGCGGACTGATGACGTCACATGCCCAGCTCGTCTAGAGCTGCATTTCACCTCCTGTTATTAATAGTCTCTAGATAATAATAAATTATTACAATTTTCATTTAGTGGGGGAATAATGATGGACACAGTCATAAACACAAATCAAATTAACATTTTGCCGAATAAAACAAAAAATATCCTGCTGGTTGGTGCGGTCCTCTCAACTTCTCACAAATCTTTTTTTAATTACGCATTAAATCGGTAAATGGACCATATAGTGAAGCTTTAAGGTCTAATATTCGCACCTTAAATGATCTTAAAACATACTTTTTTTGAACAGCAGCAACAAAAAAGAGAACTTTTAACTTTCAATGGAGTGCTCCATTGAAAGCTGCTGCTGCTGTGGTGCATGCTGGGACAGCTGTCAATGTCAAGAATGGACAAAT